TTTATTGTATCAATAAATTAATAAAAAATATTTATTAGATTTCTTTATTATTTTTATTGCCTTGCAATGGAGCCTTGCCTCTACACGCATAAATTCATAGTTATTTATCTAATTTATTTTTTATTTACCCAACCAGCTGATTTTCACATCAAATACACCATCGAACTATAATTCGTCAGGTATTGAATCCTCAGCCTTTAAACCCCATCGTGCATGTCTCAAGTTTAAAGAAAATATTCGATTAGCGAAACTAGTACGACGCTAAGATCTGTTTTTAACTTATATACTAATACCATCTAAATTACTTACCAATATGGTTTCGTCTACGATCGGATGACGCTGGTGGGATTCGTATCTGATTAGTTCTCGGTTTATCGAATCTAATCTCACTATTTAGATCTCGAGCATCATTAAGATCCTGACGAGGGGTTGTAGAAACGATCGATTCATCTCCCTCCATTTCAGCCTTAAGATCATTGTAAATGTATAAGAAATTCCTGTGGTGATGAAAAAAGATATTGTGGATAAAGTAAACGATACTATGCCGGATACCTTTCGTCACAGGGAAGTTACCATGCAACAAGAGACGCGAGGAAAAAGCAATGACATAGTCTGGACAAAGTGATATGATAATTTGGAGCTGGGGAAAACATAGCTTACTACCTTTAAAATCGCCCAACGCAACCAAGCAGTATAATGAATTTGGTTCGTCATTCTCATCCCAGTGGTAATCGCTAATTGTGTTAAAATTGATTGCGATCATGGGAAAAATATTGAATGGTCGAGGTCCAAAGGATCCCCATCTTAATTTGGATAGTTTCTCATATAACCTCACATAATTACACTGAATAAACTCATTGATGCAATCTGATAACAGCTTTAAAGTGTGAAGGAGATCATTAACACATTCACGATGATTGGCGTTATGAGAGCTTGCGGTGTTTGAGCTGATGAAAGGAAGAAGATTATTTCGTGTGTATACTCCAAAGTGTTCAATAAAGTTCATTCAAAATTCGTTGCTACGATGTGATGGGTTATTTAGCGTATGAAGATAATAGTGATTGACAGCATTTACGGCTTCTGTGATTGCAAATGGATTATCTAACTTTTCGAGATGTAATAAGGTTCTATTTCCATTATCAACGACACACTTCGGTTTCACTATATATCGAAATTGCACAAGTCTTTTCAGTGATCGAAAATCGGTACGTGCTGATATAATTAATTGCGTTTTCCTTTTTCGATTGATGCTCGTGATTGAAAAATTTACGTTATTTCGTAGGTCTAGGGCATGTCTAAGTTTTTTCCACTTATGTTTAAGATGACGTCGCACCTCCCTTCGCTTAATTGGGTCTTTGAAACCCAACCATCGTCCAAAAGCAATCCACAAGCGACTGTCACTATCAGTAATGGACAGTAAGTCTGCATCTATTTCATCCACCTCGCTAACTATATCTACATTGACCAATGTGAAAAAGCTTAAAGGAATCTCGGATAAATTGGAACCATTGTTATTGATTTTTGCCTCTCGGATTAAGGTTTCGATAAGTAGATCTCGAGTAAAAACAGCTTGTTGAGTCTTATTTTTTTTAGATGATATACAATCTTCGAGATTGATAGGGACACTCGTCCATTCCTTTTCAAGGTAATAGACTTTATCGTGCATGCATAATTCTCTGGTTCCGTGTTGGGTTCAATGCTAATATTACCAATAAACAATGTTAGCGATAACCAAGCAAATGGATAAGGAAAAGTCTAATATTTCTATTCTTAGGTTTTAGATTACTTAAGATTGCATATTTTTGTGGAGCAGACTAATTACCCTTGCCAAAGCACTGAGCCATCATCTCCACTTGGAGTATGACGATTATGGCCCTGTTGAATTCCACAACTTGTCGAAGCAAACTCATAACAAGTAATTTAGGTAATTCTTCTATCAGCACAAAAACCGAACCTTTGAATCTAAAGTATATGAACTCATAAAAATAAATATACACTCAATGGATCGAATACAATATCAAGGTTGGTCGAAGAATTAGTTGCTACATCTTCTTGTACTATTTCTGCATTTGCGGGCCTCTCGTGATAACTTTGTAGACAGCGCCTCCAATGTGACAACTTCTTTTCGTTTGTTGGTCGAGTTCATGATTACAACAAAGCGATGCAGAGAAAAATAATCTAGGTGTATTAACTAGTATGTGGATAAAAAAGACAAAAGCAACACTATTCGACAAGCCATTAGGATTTTATTCCTAGAGCCGATGTCCTACTCCAGAAGAATAGTATATACTTTCACAGAAAAAAAAAGAAGCGTGGGTAGTGGGGTAATTGATCGTTGATTGGTAAGAGTATATATATGATGAACAACTAATCAAAAACCACATAATTTACAAGCATCATGCAAACATATAATTTTCTGGTGGAAATACTTTAAATAATGCGTACGAATGATTAAAAAATAACGTGATGATTGAAAAATAACAAAGTATGTAATTATATTAATCACCAGGGCCAGATTTATTGATGCGGTAAAATAGAAACAAATTACAGAAATGAAATTTATAAATTTTTAAGAAGTAGATACAGTTGTTGTCATTTCACTAGAACTATGTTCACTATCTCCAGAATCAAAATTATGTAGTATTTTATGAATTGTACATGCAACTGTCGTTCTTAATGTTAGTAAGGTATGAATAAGCGGATACACAGCGTTTGCTGAAGTTATGTGTAATGGAATTGATGCTTCCTATATAAGACAATATCTGTAAATACCCAATTCTCTATGTATAGTGTAAAGTTCTATAACGTCGCCTGTAAAATTATAAAGTAATAAAATGAATATAAGTGATTTATGGATATAAAAATAGAAGTAATTTACATATACCTGCAACGTTAATAGTAAATATAGACAAATTCTGTCTCTTCGATGATTGGTTGAATATCTTTTTGAGCTTTAATACGCTTCTTGTGGTATCAATAGAATCTTTGAAAAAACGTATTAATTTTTTATGATCACGAAGGCGTTTATCTTGAGTGGAATCAGGTCTACCGGTTTCAAGATAAACAATTTCAAGTTTAGCATTTTTTCCCAACTGCGCCACCATCATATAATCAGCCCTTCGTGCAATTTTATAAGAACCTTTTCATATAGCACTAGCTGAACTCCCTTCTTCGCCCCTTGTTTGGGAAACATTAATTATAGCAGAAGATATGATAATCACATAACACGATTCGTTAAGTTGAGCTTACCATACATCCCACGCTATTGGATTTCCTGGTAAATTGCTCATCACTATATTTAATAATGGTGCGAGCACTTCACAAACGTATGAGCCTTCATTTATCGACTTTCCTTTCTTTATATATGCTTCGTATTTTGGAGATTTTCAAACTTTGAGCCTATAATTATTTACCAGTAAATGAGAATGTAAAAGAATCATATAAGCGGGTTTAGCAAAACTTATTTCAAGTGGCTTACATTGATTCTAACATCTGTTTTGTTAGATCTTGTAATTTTTCAGGTTTATCCAACCATTCTCCATGCTTAACATCACCCAAAACCTCATCTATATTAATTTTCGATTCTTCGTTCCGGATAAATTCTTTACATGCATCCATTACATTATAATTCTGTTCTAACTTATATTTCTGAAATGGTTCCTTAAAAATATCACAAACCGATCCAGGTATATTTGTAAAGGGTACTGATTTTAAATCGAGAACACCTGAACATATCAGATAATCGAAGTCAAGATCCTCCACATTTATTTCCTTAAGTTCCATTTCTATTCTCTCCCACATGGTATTCTCATAACTAGCGCTCTCACTTATACACCGTCCAACATCACGTTTCAAAGATCGTAAATTCACATTTGCATCTTCATGCCAGGCTTCGGTATCAATTACTAATGCTTTCATTTCTGAGAGTGAACATAGATCTTCGAATGCAGTTGCGACCTAGAATGTAGTAAAATTAGTTCTAAAGACTCGTTTTGAAAAATATATTAAATTTAACCACCGCGGAATCAGATTAGGTTTCCATTTTCACAAAATTTCAGCCGGGGCGCCCCGGCCAAAAAATTATCAGATTTCAAGAGCCGGTAAAAATGTTTGATATGTAGCATATGGTATAAACTAGTTACTACTGTGCGGGAAGTAATAATATTACAACGGGCATCAGCCTTTCACTAGTGATTATACCATACTAGAAAACCTAAAAAATGCATGACATCATATCCACATATTTGTCATAAACATAGTTACTGTCTTACCCGTTTTGCTAATTTTTTTCCAGTACCAAAACTTCGAAGCTTCTTTTTTTGTTCTACATCTTCTGAGGGAACTTGTCCTAAAACTCTTTCCAAGATATTTTCAAAATTCTCCACTTTCTTCTCAAGAACGCCACTCCATTCACCTTGTTCTACTCGTACATATAATGCCATAGAAATCCTAACGATATCAAGGGATTCTCTTGTTAAAAGAAATTCTTCCATTTTTTGGTATAATAAAAATCGCGAGTAAGAAATACAATAACTAAAAGTGACAAGTAATAATAAATCACTATTCTGACCTTTTAAAACGTTTCACCCACCCATTTCTGCCTCCTTAGGTATAGGAAATATTAGATTCAGGGAATGTGAAAGTGGAGCGATGCATGACGAAAAAAAAAACTTTTCACAAAGAAAATGTGAATACCACAAGTTAGTCAATCAGATTTGGAATTTATAGCAACTGTCAGCAGGTTACACGAATAATTATGCATATGTAGATATTTCAAGATTTTCAATCCATTAACTCAGAATTTTTATTTATATAATCAAACATTTGGGTAAATTTTTTTCAGACGAAAATTTACATAGCAGGACAGACACGAAGTGTCATTATTTTACAATAGGTCTAACTTTCCTCATTTATAGGTTGACTACTTCCTGCTTTGGCCATATTAACATTACTACCATTTTGTGATGCAGGTATATTGGATGATGATCCGTGTATATCATTATGGGTCGTATTATTATTTGAATTTCCATTCGCGCTATTTGCATTATGGCCTGAATTTTCACTCGCATTATTTGTGTTATCGCTTAAATTCCCACCCACATTATTTATGTTATTACCTAAATCTCTACCCAAATTACTTGCATTATCTCGATTGGTAGTTTCGTCTCTCCTGCTGGGAGTTCTTTGGGTTGGAGATGCAGATCGATCTCTTTAACCCGCCGGGGATTCACGGTGACTTATATTTAGCATTGATAAAACTTTTTCGTAGATTGGTGGTGGAGTGCGATTTCGCCATCTTTCTTCTCTTCTTCTTAAGGTTGTATTTACGTTTCGTATTTGATCAAAATGCGTTTTTAGTATTGTTTATGTTAGCACTACAATTTATAAAGGTAGAGCTTTGCCCATAACTCTTTGAGTCACCCCTATGGACCTGCTTTGTAATAATGCTAACTACTATTAATAGTTTATAACCCTACCAGGTCTCTCCCAAAAGCGAGTACGAAATTCCTCAAAATAACGTTAGCCCGTTCTACTTCTCCTACCAGAACTACTACCCGACATATACAGGTACATCGACTAATAATAACCTCATTGTAAGAGATAGTTGCAATTGTAGAAGATGTTCACCACTCAAAATACTTATATTATAGTCTTTTACCAGACTTTGAAACTTTCCCTTGCATTGATATCTGGAATAAGTGGTATTAAATTGTCCATTAATCTTATTTGCGATGCTATTCCAAAAATCCTCTCTACTAATACTCACAATGTCATAATATTCAACATTCCTAGTTTTTCTCTCGTCAATTAATGAACGCAGATAATCATTGGTCCACATGATTCTTAGATCATCCTTCAGGTCTACAATTTTGCTACGACTAAACTGCAATTCAACCACGATGGATATAGATTATATAGAAAAATTTCT